AATTTGGGACTCAGTGTCATCGAAACCATTGTGCCTATGGTCGACACTAGTTTGGAGTTCAAGGCATGGTTATTATTTTGAGCTCGGTGTCTTCGGGACCACTATACCGGTGGTTGATGCCATATTGGAGCTGAAGTATGATTTTGAGCTCGGCGTTGTCAGGACCACTGTGCCGGTGGTCGACGCTATATTGGAGCTGAGGCATTATGGTTTGTAAAACCATACAATTTCTTTGTGTTTAATGCATTTGAGGGAAATTGTTAAGGACTGACGAAGAAAATAGCAAATGGTTGTTGGATCACATTAGCATGTTATTTTCTTGCCACACTCCACACTGACGACTAGTTGACGGAGTATGTAGTATTTGTAACCACGAAAGATTTTATGTCAATGAAGGACATAATAATCGTCGTGATTCAATACTGCTTAACTTTTGTTGGATGGAGTCATATTCAGATACTGTACCTGGAATCATGGATGCGGCCGCATTTTAAGGAATTAGTCATTAACCCGAGAGTCGTTTTCAAAATGTATTTTAAAATAAAAATCATACAATTGATTTTGCTCAAGTGGGAGAATGTTAGATTTATCTAATATTTTATGGGCTACAATCAATTGTGGTTTAATTTGTAAAAAAAACGGGTTAATCGTGATTCTGATGGGGTGCATATATAAGCCTTTTAATTAATTAAGTGATCAATTTTTAACTAATGGCTGAGTATTTGAAACCTGATTGGTGTGGGTAAAAGTGTGGGCTTTAACCTTGGGCCCATAATGGGTAGGGACTAGGGTTATATATATTATATGGCTAGGTCCCCTCTGTAATCACAAAAAGAATCAGAAACATAACTGACGGCTCCATAACTTGCCCCATTGAAAGTTGTGAACGGGGGAGTGTGAGATACAGAGGAAGATCCGGTCATTCATCCATTCGGAATTCCGAATCATGACTTCAACAAGTAAGTATTGGTGTTTTAATCTCATATAATATCCATGAATATTTCCGCTTACATAATTAACTAAAATAATATAGTTCCATAAAGCCAGCTGCAGGTGGGGCAATTCTAAGTCCTTGGTTAAAAATGCCCACAAAGTTCGTCAAAATTTATACACATCTTCACAGCTGATATAGAAATGTTATATATCAGAAGCATTTATGCACAAATGAGAAGAAACTTGAAAAGTAAACTTGAGATTTCAGAAAATCAGAAGAAGTTTGACTTGCTTTGTGAGTATGAGTATGGAATGTTGGAGAAGAATTAACAATGTCAATTGTGTTCCTTCCTCTTCTATATAAATTCTTCCTTCCACTCACTTAAAAATTAAAAGATGCACATTAGTCTGATACACTTCTTTATTTAGACTAATAAAAACTTTTCTCTCTTTTTATAAGTAATTAAATTTAAGTTAATTAATGTATTTTTTCTCTCGTTATCCATATTAATGACTACTGTAGCAAAATGGAAGAAAAATACTTTATATTTTAATATTTTAATAATCAATTATTTTTTCATTCTGATAATTAAAATTTTAAGGATATTACTTGGGTTTAATAAATTTGTCTAGAAAGTTGTTTCATTAAAAAATGAAAATAAATTTCTGTGTGTTGTGTTTTAAGAAAAAATAATAATAAAAGTCTTTCCTTTTTATAACTTTTGTTTATCAATGATATTATTAAGTTGTTTTAAAAAAATTATGTTGTATTACGATGCCAAAAAATCATACACGCAAAGTGTTTTACAAATATCATTAATATAAATAAGAAAAGAAAATATAAAAAAAAAAGAAATATTACATCAATAACCTTAATTTAAATTAGTTTTAAAGAAAGTAAAAAAGTTTATTAAATTAAGATTACAAATTTATATTGAAGAAAGTAAAAAAAGTTGGGATGACGACTACCAATCAAGAGTTGGAACAACAGAGGACTACCAATCAAAAGTTGAGATAACATCCAAAAAACAGGACTATCAACTAAAAGTTGGGATAATATCTACAAAACTGGATTACCAACCAAAAGTCGGGATAACATCCACAAAACATACCAACTAAAAGTTGGGATGAAAGACTAATAACCAAAAGTTAGGATCGTCGGAACGTCGAACGAAGGCAAACTCACCACAATGAAGACTACCAACCAAAAGTTGGGATGACGACTCTGCAGGGGAAACAATACCAACCAAGAGTTGGAACAACAGAGGACTACCAACCAAAAGTTGGGATAACATAAAAAAATATGACTACCAACCAAAAATTGGGATAACATCCACAAAACCGGACTACCAACTAAAAGTTGGGATAACATCAAATAGGAAGTAGAATCAACCGACTCACAACCTGACAAGATTACTAATTTGTTTTGAAGAAAGTAAAAAAAGTTTATTTGTCATTTAAAACATAGAGAAAAAATAGAACACAATAGCAATACAATAAACTAATGTGAAAATTTCAAAATCTAAGAAAAATCTACAGCAGTTGTCAAATGACAACTAGAAAATAATATTGTATGGAAATTATTATAACACAATGAGTTAACGTGAAAACTTCAAAATCAGAGAAAAAACCACAACATTTGTTAAATGACAACCAGAGACACCCGCACTCCCTCTTCCTTCACAAAGCGACATGGAATTTCAAAGAACTTGTATTTTATATATAACCTTTCACCGCTTGTGGAGATACTTTCGATATCAACGGGACACTCAACCCACCGCCTGTGAGTATACTTTCAATACAAGTAAGTCGATCCTTCACTCGAACCAAAGACTTGCATTGAACATTGTGAATTTTTTTTTTACTAAGGAGCATTGAACATTGTGGAACCTCTTTTTTTAGCAACACCTTTGTGAGAGACACACTGCATACTCACCCAAAATCTTAAGCTGATAAGTGGGTGAGTTCTCTCACTTATAAATGATCAGGTCACCACATTCCTATTCAATGTTAGACTATTATCCACACTAGTCACACTTGTAATACTTAACATTCCCCCTCAAGTGTGAGTATATCCACAATGTTCAATGTTCCCTAGTGAAAAACTCTCCCAAGAGTGGTATCATGAGCATTTGCTTCGAGTGAATGATCAGCTTATTTGTACCAAAAGTATCCCCACAAGTGGTGGGTTGAGTGTCTCACTGAAGAGTGTCAATGGTTGTACAAGTGTATGTAGAAGCAAGAAGAAATTTCGCTTAAGGGGGAGCATTATGGATAGACTCACATTTGAGGGAGAGTGTTGAGTATATCAAGTGTGAGTAGTATGAGTAATAGTCCTACATTAGCTAGAAATGTGGAGATTTGAGCATTTATAAGTGGGAGAGCCCACACACTTATCATATTAAAGTTTTGGATAAATATGTGGTGTGTCTCTCAGAAAGGTGTGTTGCTCTAAGAAGGATATCCTACCATTTAAAATGTGTTTCGCTTAACACTCTTCCTGATTGTTGCGCCAACATGACTCTCTTTTTATTTACAAAACTAAGTGATGTGAAACATTTTTGATATATATATATATATATATATATATATATATATATATATATATATATATATATATATATATATATATATATATATATATATATATATATATATATATATATATATATATATATATATATATATATATATATATATATATATATATATATATATATATATATATATTCAATAAACCCCATTATAAAAGTTTGAGATATCCTAATTAATGAACTTATCATCACACATGTAACTTTCTTTATAAATATGAATGAACACCGTAACTATACTCAGATTCTTGCAATTAGCTAATTTGTTCGCGAGTTCCCATGGCATCATATCTGATGCAATGCAATGAAGATCTCATTAAAAGTTATTCTCTATCCAGACTTTTGACCATCCTCTAAGGCTCTAACAACTATATTTTTTAATGTTGTCATAATTGAAAATGACACTACGTGCATGACATTAGTCAGTACTAGTCCTAGATTAACAACAAACACGCCTAGGAACCCTCTCAGATGGTCTCAAGGAATGCCTCAACCTATGGATAAATTATTTTAACTTGATTCGTCTGTGTCTATTTTTTGTTCACCGCATATTAGGTTTTAGACACATAAGCGTCCTGATTATAGGAGTATTTCTATGCTAGCACTCAATATGCAATCTATCCAAAATATTTAATTCATTTTGACGATGCGATATCCACCCTTCAAGAGGGAGGAATTGATTTTTGTATGCGTCATAATGATTTCCACCCTCCTCAGAACATTATGAGAAGAGTCTTTGAACCTTGTCTCAGTTTGGGTAAGCTAAATGCAATGGACCGTGTGTGTCGAAGCTGTTATTATCATGTCTCTAAATTTGGGATGTGAGTCTAGAGTTGTCAAATAAATTGACGTGGACAAATTCGATCTAGAGAAAAAAGAGAATAAACAAAGAAAATTTTGTATTAAAAAAATAAAAATAAAAACTTTGTAAAAAACTTCTAAGAATTTAGTCATAGTCTATCAATTTGACTGAGAGTCCAGTCAAATAAATTCAATTTTATTTTGGACTTTGTTAAAATTTGAATTTACATCTGAGTTAAATTAAAATTGGAATTTAAACTTTAGAATTAGGTTCCTTGAGTTAATTCAGGATTTAAATTAACAACCTTGTCTATAATCATCCATAAAAGAAAATTTTTAAAAAAAAATTGTTTATATGAAAAGTTCCCACCTTAATGTAGTCTTCAATGTTCATGTAGCAAACGTTATAAGTTATAATTCCTCAAAGATTCAAACGTGATAGAAAAGGCATAACAGAGCAAAAGAATGTGGTTTTTCTTATAAACTAGGACTTGACATACAACTTTAACACATAAAGCTTATTCTTTCCTTCTTCCATGCACCATACTCAAACCTCATAATATCCTTCCTATATTTTTATATTTTCTTCTCTTTGCAACTTCACTACAAAATCAAAACAACAACCATAACACATTTCTCAAACTCCACCGTTCATCACCTCACAAAAACAACAAAATGTACGGAAACGACCACATACCCGTTCACCACGTCACGGGCTCAGGCCCAAACCCACACCCGAAGCCCATAAAGCGCCATCATTCCACCAAATACTACCTCCAACGTGTCCAAGACAGCCTCACAACCCGTGTCTCCAAAATGGTCTGCACCATCTTCTTAAGCCTCCTCGCAATCATCGGGCTCATCACCTTCATCGTCTGGCTCAGCCTACGTCCACACCGGCCCAGGTTCTTTCTCCGTGACGTCACCATTGCGGGCCTTCAGGCCCAATCCGGAGTCCAAACAGCCCAACTAGCCTTCAAAGTAGACGCACGGAACTCCAACCTAAATATTGGGGTTTACTACGAGTCTATGACTGGGACGGTTTATTATCGAAAGAACGTTATCGGCTCAACACCGATACCATTTCCGTCTTATCAGGGTCCAAAGAACACGACAAAAATTAATGCAGTTTTTACCGGTCCAACCTTGACTGTCAGCAATCAAGGTTGGACGGAAATCCAGAACGATAGGGCTGATGGTAGTGTGATGTTTAGTTTGGAATTGACGTCTGTGATTAAATTTAAGATATCCTCGTGGGAAAGCCAGCGCCACAAGATGCATGCTAACTGTGATGTGGGTGTCGCAGCCAATGGTTCTCTCTTACATATTTACAAAGACAAGAGGTGTCCAGTTTACTTTGATTAAGCATTTTAATGGGATTATAATTTCACTAATTTGCTTTTTTTAATTTGATTAACTTTTTTTCTTTGTCTACCATTTTTTTCAAACTATTTTTAATATTGATTTTATTATTTTATTTATTTTCAAATAATTCATTGTTGTTGAGGTTTGTAATTATGTTGTTTGTTTCTGTTATTTAATTATCTTCATGATTTTTATATGTTGGAGTTTACTAGTTTGTAAGAACTATATTGCATGGCACCAATGTAACTATCATTTGTTATTTATTATTATAACTATCTTAACTGCCTAACTACTCCCGTTAAAGTATGAACAACATGTTTGTCTTTTCCTCTTAACAAATTCTCGGAGAAAATATGCGGAAGAAAATTATACCCAAAAAAAAATTGTGAAAAATGAGGTGGTATTGTCGGCATCAAATTTGAAACAAGTGATGGACTATGATATCTTCGATTAACCTACAAATATTTAGATAATAAATGACGAGGTCATCGAGTATGTGATTTAACCAAACTTATTTGCTCTTGCCGAAGGTCATAGTAAATCTCATGTTAAGCTAGTAGAATAAGACTCTTTTAAAGAATTCTTGAAGTATTCATTGGATTGACTTCATTTTCAACATAATAGGATGTCTCACTTTACTCATTCTTTTAATGAGTTAAATCCGAGAGATGTGTATCCAATTTTTTAGGCATAAGAATAGGCTTTCCCTCTATTACACTTGTGAATATACAAGGGGATTTCGAAAATCGTCTCCACAAAAATTGTAGTGATATCACAACTTTTGAACCAATGGTATGACCAAAATTTTTCCAATACATAATTATAGCAAGAAGCTCTTTTTCTGTTGTGGAATAATTTATTTGAACTTCACTTAAAATCTTACTCACATAATGTATAGTATGAAAAATGTTTGTCCTCCTTTGACTAAGCACCACACCAACCGCATAATCACTCGCATCATACATGAGTTCAAAATCAATTTTCCAACTAGGAGCGATGATTATGGGTGTGGTTGTCAAACTTTGTTTTAAAGAATTAAAAGTTATCATGCAAGACTCGTCAAATTCAAAAGACTTATCTTTGTTGAGCAATTTGCTCAAAGGCTTTGCGATTTTTGCGAAATCTTTGATGAACTTCTGATAGAAGTTCGCATGACCAAGGAAGCTTCTTATTCCCTTTACATTCAAAGGTAGTGGAAATTCTTCAATGACGTCCACCTTGACTTGATCAACTTCAAGGCCTTTTAAAGAAACTTTGTGGTCGATCACAATTCCCTCTGTTACCATAAAATTATATTTTTCCCAATTGAGCACCAAATTTGTTTCCACACACCTTTCCAAAACAACATCCAAGTTTTTCAAGCAAAGATCAAACAACGGTCTAAAAACCAAAAAGTCGTCCATAAAAACCTCAATTTTCTATTTAATCAAATCCGAGAAGATTGCTTGCATACACAGTTGAAAAATGGATGGTGCATTACATAACCCAAAAGGCATCCTCCTATAAGCGAAGATTCCAAAAGGGCATGTGAAATCAGTTTTCTCATGGTCTTCTGGGTTAAGAATAATTTGATTGTAACCTGAATAACCATCCAAAAAACAATAGATTTATTGTCCGGAAAGTCTCTCGAGCATTTGATCCATGAAAGGAAGAGGAAAATGATCTTTCCTCGTAGCTCGATTTAGCCTACGATAATCAATGCACATCCTCCATCTGGTCATGGTTCTTGTAGGGATCAACTCATTTTTCTCATTTTGGATAACCGTCTTCCCATATTTCTTCGGTACCATTTGCACTAGGCTAACCCAAGGTCTATCGGAAATCAAGTAGATCATTCTGGCATCTAACATTTTCACCACATCTAGTAAGAATAGCCTTGCAATGCTCTTTTGGATTCACTTGAGTGTTTACCAAAAAACTTCCTTTGTGTTGGTCGGCCAATTGTTTTGATAATTGCCCCACTTGCGTCTCAAGATTTTTTATAGCCGCATCGATGTTCTTTTGATTTGACATTGACATTTGCATAAATTGAGTGAGAGTGTCTTCCATCTTTGAATTTCCACTTGGAGCTTGTGGAGGTTGAGTGTAGTTTTGATATTGTTATTGACGATTGGAAGTTTCGACATATTGAGGCCTCCATTGTTATTGATAACATTGGTTACCTCTTTGTTGGTAACCTTGGTTGCCTTGTTGGTATGGTGGTCAAGGTTGATACCCTTGGTTTTGATTTCCCGCATAGTTAACCACGTCTACTACTGGAGGAAAATACCCGGTTGGGTGATCTCTTTTACAAATCTTACAACTCGCCACTTGTTTGTTGTTGTTGTTGTTGTTGGGAATTTCTTGCATTTCTTTTATTTGTTGTGAAGGTTTTGACATTTGTTGAGTCAACAACTCCACTTGTTGTGAAAGCAATTTGTTTTGCGCAAGGATCGCATCATTTGTTCCCAACTCTGTCATGCCCGGTTTCTGCTGAGATGTGTCACGGTTGTGATTTCCTTTGTGATCATTGAGTGTCATCCTATCAATAATAATAATTGCGTCTTTGGCTCTTTTGGACATTAACGATCCACCCGAAGTAGCATCCAACAAAGTCTTGTGAACCGATTGGAGCCCATTTCAGAAGATGTGCACTTGAGTTAATTCGTCAAAATTATGTCATTTACATTCTCGTAACATAGATTTAAACCTCTCTCAAGTTTCATTGAGAGATTCATTGTCACCTTGAGCAAACACCGATATTGTTGTCTTCACTTTCATGAATCTATTGTGTGGAAAAAAACTGTTCAAGGAATTTTTCTTCCAATAAATTACAATTTGTCATTACCAAAGTTGATTGATCAAGATATCATTCTTTAGCCTTCCTGATTAGGGAATGCGGAAATACTCTCTTAAACAAGAATTCTTCTTCAGGTTCAGGCGCTCCTGTTGCACCCGCAATTTCATAGAATTTGGTGAGATGTGTGAACGGATCCTCGTGGTCCATACCAGTAAAAGTATTTTTTTTTTATAGAAGCGCAAGAATTCCCATATTCATCTCTGAATACCTCTCGTTGTTGGTGTTTCATGCAAACTGAGCATTATTCCTTGGAAATCGACATTTGCATAAATTGAGTGAATGTGTCTTCCAATTTTGAATTTCCACCTTGAGGTTGTGGAGGTTGAGTGTAGTTTTGATATTGATTTTGACAATTTGAAGTTCTGGCATCTTTCCTCCATCCTTATTGATAACCTTGGTTAATACTTATTGGTTGGTAATCTTTGTTGCCTTGTTGATACAGAGGTTGTCTCGGTTGATAGCCTTGATTTTGATTTTGGTTTCACATGTAATTTGCTTCCTCTACACCCGGAGGACAATACCTGGTAGGATGGTCTCCCTTGCATAATTTCAAACTTGTAACTTGTTGATTCTTGTTGGAAATTTCTTGCATCTCCTTGATTAGTTGTGGAAGTTTTGATGTTTTTTTTGTGTCAACAACTCCACTTGTTGTGAAAGAAACTTATTGTATACAAGAATAACGTCATTAGTACCCAATTCAAGCACTCCCGGCTTCCTTTGAGGCGTACCACGATTATGTTGACATTGATGGTTATTGAGTTCCATCCTAGCAATGATAGCAATTACGTCCTCCGCACTCTTTGACACTAAATATCCACCCGAGGTAGCATCTAAGAGAGCTTTATGAACCGGTTAGAGTCTATTCTGAAATATATGCACTTGTGTAAGATCATCAAACCTATGGCCTTTACATTTTCACAACATAGATTTGAACCTCTCCCAAGCTTCATTAAGATATTTATTACCACCTTAAGCAAATACGGAAATTGTCGTCTTAGCTTCCATGAATCTATTGTGAGGAAAGAATCTTTCAAGAAACTTCTCCTCCAACAAATTGCAATCCGTCATCACAAGAGTATATTGATCAAGATACCATTCCTTAGATTTACCTATCAATGAGTGTGAGAATAGTATCTTGAACGATGATTCTACTTCCGCTTCCGTTGCTCCCGCAATTTCATAGAAATTCATAAGATAGTGAACGAGTCTTCATGATTTAGCCTGGTAAAGGGATTTGAATACAAGATTTGAAGAATCCCCATTTTCATCTATGTGTGCCTTCCATTGATTTCATTGTGAGCAAACTGAGCATTGTGTTACGGACTATTAGTGCATGGACCTCTGGGAGGTGGTGGAAGTGGTACTTCTGCCATAATTTGCATAACAATGGGTGTAGTTGGTGGATTACTTGAAGAAGTTCCTTTGCGCTCCCTTCTTTCTTTAGCTAGTTGCCTTCGTCTTCTAGTTTTTCTATTAAGTTTCCGCACAGTTCTATCAATCTCAAGATCAAATAGAAGTTGATTTGCAGGAACACTTCCTCCCATAAATAGATATCTGACACACTTAACCAAACAAATTAACAAACATGGAATATTAACTGAGGTGAGAGATAATAATACAAAGCTTAAAGCAAGATAAACTATTGCAATGCTTGTAATGTCAATCAACAATCTCTGACAACAGCGCCATTTTTTTTTATGATTATGAAACTAGGTGAGTGTCATGTCCAAAGCCTTAATAAGCTTTTGACCATATCAAAATCCGATTGAGATATGAGTGCTCGTATCCGGTTAACTGAGTTAGGATTGGAGAACATCACGAAGAATGGGTGGGTTCAAATAATTTTGAGCCTTTATCCTTTATTTCTTAAATCATGAATAGGGCTAGCAATGAAGCAAACCAACTCGAAGATAGTTCGGAATTCGACTCGACAATTAAATCGTTGAACTAGGTTCATGAACCAAATGAGTTGAGTATGAGCGAAAAATTAAGTTCGTTAACTAAATGAGCTGAACTTGAACTATACATAGTTCGACTCGTTAGGTTCATGAGTCAACTCGATTACATATGAAAAGAATTATACTGTCTTTAAGATTAGGTTTAAATATTTACTTCAAATCTTAGACAAATTTAATCTTCAATTTAGTAGTTTTTGAATTAG